CCGATCTGCATACCGGAATGTTCACACTAGATTTTTCTTGTGTTGTAGGCAGCAAGAGCGAGTCAACTTGCAGCGGGAGGACATTGAGAGGCAGAGAAAGCTGCTGGGAAAGAGGAAACCTCCCTCCATGGCTCAGACACCCCCACTCAGCCTTGAACAGAACAAACGAAAAAGCAGGAGCAATGGCCAGGAGAATGAAGCGTAAGATTACAAACAAGAAATAAATTACTTCACACATGTTTTACATAGACAAAGTATACACTATGGCAGAAATTAACACTGCAATGTATTGCTGCAGTTTTCTGAACTTAATTAGTTGTCCTGGCTGAGTGGCGTTAATGTAATTTCTTAACCACTTTTGGACTGTTTGTTTGGTCAGTTTTGTTGTTTTATCGTTTCATTCAAAAGCAATTATTCTAAAATATATCGTGATAGTAATAAATAGTAATATAGTGTTGATTTGGACACATGAAGCTTTATTTTAACAGTAGAATATCAAATTAACACAAAATCTGATTGTAAAATTGTAAGAATATTTAGTCAGACTTGACTATCTATAATAACCCTTGGTTCAAATTGTGTCTTTGGCATTTTATATGAAGTAAGTGTGTAGCTAATTTAGTTTTTCTCACAAGCTGACCTGTTTACATTGTTATAAATTACAAGCTACTGCTTTTGCTTTATCTCATGCAGGTTGTCACTGGCAGAATATCATGAGCAAGAGGAGATTTTCAAACTTCGAATTGGCTATCTAAAAAAGGTGCCAGTTTACCACTTAAAGTTTACCACTCTTTTTTGTTTTCTTGCTATTTGTTCCTGGGACCTGTTACTACCTAGTGGCCTATATACTTGGTACTGTTGTTACTTGTTCCTGTTAATCAAGGGTTGATGTAGATGACACATTTGTGTGATTGAATGCAGGAAGAAGCAGAGATCCAGGCAGAACTGGAGCATTTGGAGCGTGTAAGAAACCTGCACATTCGGGAGCTGAAGAGAATCCATAACGAGGACAGCTCGCAGTATGTATTATCTCAGCCTAATGTACAACACACAAGTTCTGCACTGTGCGTTTAATTTCAAACAATGCTGTTTGAAAAAGCCAAATGATTTAAGAAAGTGTTCTTCTACAGATTTAAAGACCACCCCACGCTCAACGACAGATATCTGCTGTTACATTTACTTGGAAGAGGTGGCTTTAGTGAAGTTTTTAAGGTAAGCATGTGCCAATTAGTTGGCTTCCATACATGGGAACCACTTTATAATCTTTTTTATTATTATTATTTATTATAACTATGCTGGGTCATTTTGAATAACATAAGGCAAGGGCACTTCACTTGTCAGGGTGGTATTGTAGTGAGACTTGCAACACTCTTCTATCCTGTAAATGGCTCCCACACATTCAGTGTAACTTTCTGTTTAGAGAAGGCTACTCCAACTTTGCGTGTTGATGTGTAATGTTTTGTTCTGTTTTGCAGGCTTTTGATTTGACAGAGCAAAGGTATGTGGCCATTAAAATTCATCAACTCAACAAGAACTGGAGAGAAGAAAAGAAGCAAAACTACCATAAGTAAGTTTGCCCCTCTGTTACATCGTGGACCTTCAGGCTTAAAACGGTCTTTGAATGTTCGTATTTGTGATGCTTTTAAAAAGTTACAAAATGGTCTTTTCAGACACGCCTGTAGAGAGTACAGAATCCACAAAGAACTTGACCACCCCAGAATAGTCAAACTCTATGACTATTTCTCACTCGACACAGACTCGTAAGTGAATCCTTCTACATAATACAAATATATAAGTTGTACGTGCCACGTTTAAGTGCTAAACATCACGTAGTGCTGAAAAGCAGGCAAAGTCTTTAAAGCGACTGTAATCGATATTTTTATAATAACAATGTATAAAATGACAATGTGAAGGGGGTTGCTGGTAGGGATGAACCTATAGAGAAATATCTGCAGCTGCAGTTATCTGTACTGAAAACTTCCCAAATGATCTGTTGTATTACCTCCTGTAGGTTCTGCACAGTGCTGGAGTACTGTGAAGGCAATGATCTGGACTTTTACTTGAAGCAGAATAAACTGATGACTGAGAAGGAGGGCCGCTCTATTGTTATGCAGATTGTCAACGCCCTCAAATACCTCAACCAGATTCGCCCACCCATCATCCACTATGACCTCAAGCCCGGTATTCTCACAGTTTTAGTTTGTCATGTTGTGACCCCCCTTTAGTTACAGAAGAGAGAAAAACTGCACTACTGTTGCAATCGGAACCAAATTTGGTAGTTACTAGTGCAGTGCCCATTCACAGAGGCTGATGTGACGCCTCCCTGCGCTTTTTGTTCAAAGGCTGTTTACAGTCATGTTTGCAATATTTACATTTGCTGTTTACTGCTCTGATCTTAGGTAACATCCTGTTGGTGAATGGCACAGCTTGTGGAGAGATTAAGATCACTGACTTCGGCCTGTCCAAGATCATGGACGATGACAGCTACAACTCTACAGATGGCATGGAGCTGACCTCACAAGGAGCAGGGACCTACTGGTACATAGAAGCACATTTCACTGTGTATAATAACCAAGCAACAAATATGGCTTCACAAGTTTTTAGCAGAGGAGCAGTCTTTTGAGTGAAATGTTGTAATGTGCAAACTGAATCTCCTCTTCTTTCAGAAAATTGTGTAAATGAGTACAGATGTTAAGAGAGTAAACCTATTTCAGTCTCATTGTGATTTTGTGGCTTACAGGTACCTGCCTCCTGAGTGCTTTGTGGTGGGCAAGGAGCCCCCCAAAATTTCCAACAAGGTGGATGTTTGGTCAGTAGGGGTCATCTTCTACCAATGCTTATATGGACGCAAGGTAACCACTAACCTGCATTCTTTCACGAGGATTTCTCTTTAAGTCCGTGTGAGGAAAAATGAAAGTAAGCTGTCTGTCTCGCTTTTGTATTTTTCCAGCCGTTCGGTCATAACCAGTCGCAGCAGGATATCCTTCAAGAAAACACCATATTAAAAGCCACTGATGTGCAGTTTCCCCCCAAACCTGTGGTCACCACAGAAGCAAAGGTGTGGTACTCATGTCTTGTCAGCTATAAACTGCACTGCACTGTTCCCATCAAACTTTATACATGTATACAGTATCGCTCACTCAATCACTCATGACATGGTATTCTCACTTGAGATACACTTCCTGCTCAAACAGGATGTTGGGGTTTAATACAATAGTAAGGGATCCTTTGAGGCTTTTTGATTTGATATAAGGGACAGAGGGGTAGTCCAGTATTGGGTCACAAGTAAAGCATCACTGTTGTCCAGAATTGTCAATTTATAGGGTCTGTAAGCACATAAAGTAGAGCTGCAACAATTAGTCAATGATACGATTAGTTGTAAACTATAAAATTAATCACCAAATATTTTTGATTCATTGTTCTGAGTAATTCTTTAAAGGGGGGGGGGAGGCAAAATTCTCTGATTCCAGTCTCTTAAATGTGAAAAATTTCTGTTTTTTGCTGCTCTATGCAAGTAAACTAATTATCTTCGAGTTGTTGACAAAACACGACATTTGAGGACATCATGGCTGACATTTTTCACCATTTTCTGACATTTTATGGACCAAACAAGATAATAGAGAAAATGATTTTCAGATTAATCAATAATGAAAATCATTAGCAGCCTTAATGTAGAGTGCCATAAGCAGCTAGTGATTTAAGGCTATCTGTTTAGATATATAGTGTTTGGAAGGAACTTGACCCAACATTTGTAATGGGCAGGGCACAAAAGTAAATCAAGAGTTTATTATGCAAATATGTGGAGGAAAAAAAGGTATGAGCAGAACAGCAAGTAGCCCAAGAAAGGGAAAAAAGTGGAAGTAGGTTCAGAAATAATCAGTCATTTTTGTCCCCCTTGTCCCTTCATAGGCATTCATTCGACGTTGCCTGGCTTATCACAAGGAGGACCGTGTGGATGTGCTACAGTTGGCCAGTGACCCCTTCCTAATGCCACACATTCGCAAAGCCCTGGGCAGCAGCACACCCCTGGCACCTCCTCTTCCCTCCACCTCCAGCTGCTACAGCAGCAGTGCCTCCGACTGAAGCAAGCTGAATGAAAGTGGAATTAAACCCCAGTGAGGACAAACCACAGAGACGTGGCTCACTTGATGAAACTTCTCCTTTGCTTTCTTGATTGCGGGAGAGTAGAGGGCATGATGGGATGTAGGGATCCTAAAAGAGTGGATGGAACCAAAATTGATGGATGACACCGTGATGTAGTTGTAAATGTGCCTACCACCATCATCCAAGTGGTAAAAATGAAGTGCCAGTCTCTGGCTGTGGGCTCAGTAGAACCCAAAGATTTGCCCATATGCATGCACTAACACTTTGGCTCATTTCAAGGGGCTTTTTTACATGATAAACCGAAAAAAGCACCTGAAAAATTGCACAACTGACCGGCCGAGATGTATGCATGTGTGGAAGGTCACCTGCCTACTGTGGAAGGTTTTGAAGAAGCGTTAGACATTTCATCGCATTCTCCTTGAAATGTGTCATCTATAACTATTTTGCAGAACTACAGTGGTCAGTTTATCCCTATAGGTTTGAACCTGGGACTTTTAAGAAGGGCTTCTACAAGTAATAAGGAACGACTGATGACCAAAGTTCAAGGCCTGCCTTGTTGATACGGCACTATGCGAGGTACATATGACTTGACACAGAAGAGGGATGATTCTGGAAAGAGTAACTGGTTTTGACCTATTTTAAATATTTTACTGGATAAGTGGAAGTCAGCTTATTATTTTAATTGTTAAGTCCATATTTTTCCATTAATCCGATCCCCTGTAATGTTTTTGTTAACCTGATAGGGGGGCTGACTATGAGTGAGTGTTGTAATGAGTTAAGATTCAACAGAAATACTTATGAAACCATTAAAAAAAATAATTTGGTTAACTGTGGTGTCTCAATTGATTTGGGGAAATCAGTGGTCAAATAATACAAAGATACTTTGAGGTGCACTGTTTTTTTGACCAAGAGTATTAATTTATGCCATTGTCATTAGTATACCATGAAGCATTAATACTTGTGTCAAATACATTGAATCTATAAGAAAGACTCTCCACACTAGACATTTTCACAGCAATAAATGTTTAAGTCAAACTCCACCATTAAAAGTATCCATATCTAAAATGGACAAAATCACATGATAGTGCAGAGTATAAACACAAACGCTCTGTATCAGTGTACCTCTAAATACAACAGTTTACCTGTAAAGTGTGTATGTAACTGGCAAATGTGATAACTGCATTCAAGGTTAATGAAATACTGACACTCTTCTGAATACTAAACCGTGTTAATGTATTAAAAATCCTACCTTGACCATAATTATCACATCATATTCTTACTGCCTCTGTAATTGGAATATTGAAAAACAATGTTATACAGTGATTTCAAAGGTGTGCAGTGTGATGAGAGCGCAAGGATACCTTGAACTTCATAAAGTGGTTACAACTGAATTTGGTTGAAGATATTTTTAAAATTACATTCTCGTCTGAAAGCTTTTCAGAAAAAGCCAGACAATTAGTGAAGCAGGTGATAAAATAAGCATGTAATTATTTTATTCTGCCTGCTTTAAGGGTTAGACGACAACCTGTACCTGTCTTCAGTGCTTCCACAGTGGGTCCACCATTAATGATTTCCCCCTTTGCAGCAAAATAGATACAAATGATCCCGTCTTTGTAACATGTAAAAACAGACAATGGGGACTGAAGATCTAGACATTTTTCCATGCTTTTTTTTTGTACTGAAAATACTTCCAAAATGGTGCAGACAACAATTTCTTTTCCTTTGGCCATGTAAGATTCAAACGAAATCCATTTATCAGAGGGGCAAATGACTATGCAAAACTCCGTATCATAAGGCATTGTTCAGCAGGTTTATCGGTTGTAGAACTGCGAGGTGACCCAGGCCAGTCCCCACTTCAGGTTGGTGAGCATAAACTTGAGCGCCTTGGTCCACTGCTCCTCAGAGTTGAACTGGGTTTTGATAGAGTAGGAGCCACCGCTGCCACCTGTGTCCTCGATCTTGCCTTTTTCCACATCCATCCTGAGATGTGGAGTAAAACATGAATTACAGTCATCAAATAAGGCCTCGGTGGAAGTACTGGTGTCAATATTATAATCTGGCATTATCTGGATAGGCACATTAGTGTACATACTAAACAACTCTTGATCTTGTGATTAGAGGCTGAAATGCTCATTACACCCAGCATACTGAAGGTTTTGCTATTAGGAACCTTAGAAGTAAGTAAAGTTTGTTCTGAGGGTGAAAATAGAGGGTGTTAAGTCATTTAAACTAAAAAGGGTTATTTCCCCTGTGGGCATGAATGTACTGACAAAATATTTTTGCAGTTTGCCAATAACGATTATGAAATACCTCTTGTGCTTAGCTGACGTTTGTGCTTTAAGGCAGAGAAATAGGAAGGTTCAGAGTCCAGGAATCATCAGTAGGAATCATCCTTTTGGGATGCATATCTTTATCATATGACATAATGGCAATCCAAGCAGTAATACTTAACATGTTCATCTAGATCAAAGCTTTGGACAGACCAGAAAATATGCACTAGAATATGAAGATATATAACTGTTTCCAAGGTTTGATGGCAGCTGTTTAAATCAGATTTCCCTCTAACTAATAGCCATATTACTATGTCCTGCAGTATGTGTACATACTGTATTACAGGGTTTTACTTAAGGTCTTACAGTGGTATACGAATAGTTAAATGAACATGAAAATGTAATATTATAATTATAACTTTGTTGGGACTCAGTAGAGAGTTAGTTTAGGCTGGCAGAGGTGAGTGCTGGAGGTACTGTGAGCTTTATAAGCCTAGTTACATAAGTAAGTGTATTAGTAAATGTTATACTGGGGGGCACGCTTTAATAATTCAAAGGGTTCTGGCCAAAGCTTTCCCAAATGTCCCTTATTTGCCTACACTAGCATAATCAAAGAAGACAATCCCCCACCCCCTCTAGAATAAGTTGAGGTCATTTGCATTCAGACTTCATGAATATTTACAGCTTCATCTTAAATTGCTGCGATGACACCTGGGATAATGAGCATAAAGAAGAATGTTCACACACTGCTGGTCTGCAGGGATCTGACCTGTATGGAAGGCAGAAGCCAGTGTCTCCTTTTTCCACCTCCTCTTTGAACTGCTGAACACAATCCAGGAAGGCCACCATGGCATGGTCAAATTTATTGTCCCAGAAGAACCTCAGGCCACCTGAGCAGTATAGAGGAAGTTCCTGGACAAACACAAGACAGAAAGAAAGACTGGGCTGGAGCCTGGGGGTGTATTAAAATAGTGATGTGGGACCAGGGCTGGAGAAGACTGCATGTATTACCTTGGACTTGTCTGTCAGTGACTCTAAGTATGAGTGGTTTCCATATGGGACAAGACGATATCTGAAGAGAAAAGAGGAGTTTAGTTTGAGCTTAATTTGATCTTGACTTCCGGAATAACAATACTAAAAAACTACACAATATTTGTAATAAAGCTTAAGAGATCCATTCATACTAAACAGCTGAGGTAAAATCAAACAAACAACAAAGCAACAGAAAGCATATGCTAAGATACAATAGCACTGAATAATCAAATCTAAATAACCACGAGATGGAGAACCAGGTAACAAAAACAACACCTGTAAACTACCAAAGAAGATGAATTAAAGTAGCCCTTATTAGTTCAAGGGCGTAAATGTGTAAGTGAGCAAAATACAAACCAAAGGTTATTATACTAAATATTTTTATGGACACACGACTAAATGAATATATGCGGATGTAGATTCAACTGAAAACACATTTTAAACTTTATAGTCAGCTAATTCAGTGCTGAATCCAAGTGTGTGTACCTCTGGAAGCGCAGCCCCATTTTGTTGGCCAGAGCGTGCAGCAGCAGCACCGTCTGCCCCCAGGCTGCGTTAATCTCATTCCACTCCACCGGGACGCTGGGTAGTCGACCCAGTCGGAAGTTGTTGATGGTACCAAACTGCCCACTGTGCCTAAACACAAACAAATGATTCTCAGCCAGTGAGGATTGTTTCTTTTTTACCTGGGGGCCTGTGTGAAATATCTGCTAAGTCAGAGTTGACTGGTCGACATTTTAAATTATTTATTAATAGCACACATTATTTGTGTGTGTATGTTTACCAGATGTGAAATGTGGCATTGAAGACATTGGTCTTTTTCAGGCGATCTAGCTGAATCTGGCAGTAACGCATCTGGTTGTCAACACTCTTTAGCTCATCATCCAGCTCCAGCTGTTGCCGTTTAAACTCGCTGTACTCCTTTTGGTACCTATTAGCACAAAGCAACAGAAAGACATGAGCCGTTAGCTGCCGCATCATTTACTATATAGCCCCGCCACCTGTTTACATCGCCCTCGCGTCACTCACTGTAGCTCCTCTGTGTCCAGCTGTTGAGAGTGGATCCTGCTCTGGTCCAGGTCCTGGGCCACAGCAGCCCTCTGCTCCTCTACTGTCTCAAGCTCCTGGACCAGAGCCTCCTCCTCCTCCTTCAGGTGCTGCAGCTCTGCCAGCAGGGTCTCCTCTCCCTCTACCTGCAGGTGTGAGAGCAGCTCCAGACACTGTCTGAAAACACATTACAGCATATGTTATTAAATACACAAACTGCTCATAGCAGACATTTGGATTCAGTCCTTTAACCTAACCAGGTTTGTAGCGAGTAACAAAAACCACAGGTTCTGTCTCTTGAAAATCTCTTTGATTGAAAAGCTCACTTGTAATTCTGGCATTCGTTCTCTGTGATGTTGAGTTGCGTGTCCAGGTGGTCCAGCAGGGTGTCAGTACATTCCTCGCACAACGGATGGTCCACGTCTGTCTGGCCTGACATGATGTCAAACAGGTCGCTGGTCACCTAGGTGGGACAGGATCAACGACAAAATTGTCACCTGGTCATGTCACTAAGTCCCACTTTAAGTCCCATCCCAACATAGATCACAACCTGAAGTTCAGCCAAATGAACTGTTCTGTCAACAGCCTACGTGTCTGCTATTCTTGTCAAAAAACACCATCAGAGTAAAGTGACACAATAGAATTTCAATTTTACCTTACCTTCAGTCTACGACTAAGATTTTCCATAGTGCCACCATCCGATGCTTCTCCAATCAGTGTGAAGCTATTGGCACTCTCTGTGGACATCATCCTGTAGGGGAAGTTTCAGCAGTTCAGTCAACTTTGTACGATATGTCTGTCCATGCATACCTCACTGGACAAAGGAACATGTCAACAAAGAGACAATTGACAGATATAAATTGTAGTCAGTATTCAGTTCCGTTTTCTGAATAAAAAGATGTGAGCGCTCACCGTGCAGGAGGGATGTATTTTCTCGACACTCCATCTTGCTTGTTTTCTACAAAGGTCTCCTGGAAAGAAGATGTCATTCTGAGACTCCAACATGCTTTGTAACAAAATATTTTCACATGCTGAAACGGAATAATGAATTGTTTTAGTCTTATGTCTTCTGAAAGTTTTGTCAGATTATATCGGGTTTTTCAAAACAGAATCAAAAAGAAGTTTGGTGTTGTCCCATCACATCAGTTTACTGTATATAGGTAAGGTACATACAGAAACATGATGTTTACAAGGAAAACACTGAGCACTGCAGGAACTTAAATTCCTCCCAGGATTTCTGTAGTTAAATAGGTATGGATTGTAGTTATTAATGTAGTTGTCATAGTGTCCCTCAGGTGAAAAAACTTTTTATTTTGTCAGGATCATTTTTTTCAAGTGTTGTTGTAATACTCATTTTGGCCACAAGAAGCTGAAGAGCAGCACTACCCCATGTTCTGAAAAGGACTATTAGCATTCATGTTGTCTTCCAGGTGAGTTTTAATGTCTCCATGCACTCTAAACACTTTTATTGTGTGTTAAAAATTTGTTTTGTTTTGTATTATGTCACGCTACACATCTGTCACGTCATTCTCTTGACCAGAAGTGTGTTTTAATCAGTGCTTCACCTGGAGGAAAAACATGAATCCTAACTTAGATAAGTAATCCATTCAAAACTTTTTTCCCCACCTGTTTCACAAATTAAAAATATTTTTTTTAGGAACTAAATTTTTTAATGACTCTCCTGGCAAAACCTGCACCCCGCACAGTTTTATCAAATAACTTTCATATGAGTAGATATAGTGGTTATACTCAACAAGAATGATGGGTTGCTGGTGAAAGTAGCTGCACAACACAACAGCCTACATGAATGCCAGTAACTTAAGAACCAGGATCAGCTTTATTTGCCAGGTATGTGTACTTGTATGAGGAATTTTAATCTAAACTATATACTGCTCACGATGTTCTTACTCATACAATCAATAATCAGACACAGACTACAGAACACACATATACTCACCATTAACCAAAACAACAACATTGTAGACAGATCGAGACAACAGTGCAATGAGCAGAGTGCGGGAGTAAATTATTATTCCCTATGTTGAAGGTGGATGTGATATATATACATACATACTTGTTGTCGCATTCAGTGTAATTGTGCTGTGTGTATCCTCCTGACATCCTACAGAAGGTCGTGAGAGCATCACAGTTGTAGACAACTAACAGTCGCATATATGTATGATGTATGTTTTCTGCTGTACCTAATTACCTCTGGTGCTGCCCCCCCCTCAGTGCTGTCAGCCTGTTTACTGGGGGTCACAGTGACCAACGGAGCTGAGGAGGACAGAGGGACATACAAGACTGAGCACTTTAAACGCCATTACACTAACATCTTCTAAACGTTGCGTACATTTCACAGCACCCATGGTTGGATCGTGTGGTTATACATACCAATAAGTTCCTGGATTGTGACCCGATCGAGCACATTGAAGGACGTGTCCAGTTTGAGTGGCTGACAGCACCGCTGACACACGAAACTGACCTGCATGGTTGTGCTCGACGACTTGGAGCCCTCCATTGCTAACTTAGCTACAAGAAGACACGTAAAGAAATAAAACCACGACGTAAACAGCTAAAACATTTGTTTTAAAGTCTAAAAGTTAACGCAACACAGTCTATAACGTTAGCTTGCTAACTAGATAGCTGTTTGGCTAAACTGCTAGCATTAGCCTTGCAGCTATCTTGTGCGTTACGTTCGTGAACGGCGTAAGATGGACTCACTGTCGCTTGTGAGGAACGAAAATTACTGTATAATAGGCCCGCTTTGCACACGTTGAAAATAAGAAATACTTCTAATCTATTTCGCGTGACTGCTCCATTTTGCACCTCGGGACTTCCTTATTGTTGTTTACGGCGGATGTGACGACAAATTAAAAGCTTGACAGTCACGTGGGAAAACCCCTCCAAAAGACCAGCTTGGAGGAAAAACATTAGTTTTACAACACAGAAAGACAGGAACGAATAATATATGACACTTGTGGGATTTTTCAGGCACATTTAAACTAGTGTTACGCCTCATTCTGTGACCTATCACACAAATTTTGGTAACAGCTTTAAAAATGCAGTATATGCTAATAAAAACATTCGAAGTGGCAGTATAGTTAAAAAATCTAGCTCAATCAGATCACAGAATCTGATAAGTCATAGAATTTGTTGTAACACCTGTTGATCTAAATTGTTGCATATTAGTGTACTGGCCCTTAATCCATCAGAGCAGCATTAGCTTTGTACATCTCATGCATATTCAGGAACTTATGCAATGGACCCACCAAAGATGAAAAACTAATTTAAGCTCTTTCTGCCACTTAATGTTTTTAAGTCTCCCAAAGTCCAGTTTTTAGGTTCTTGAAGATCTAAAAGAAGGTGATATGTGATTGATTGATCTTGCAGTTATTGCACTTTAAAATTAACCCTTTGAAAATTCCAATTAACATTTAATCTGAGCTTTACTGGTTGATCACTATAATCACTATATAATCAGACTGTGTACTGTATTTCAATTTGTTTCATGTTTTGTTGTGGCCTTATGTTATTTTAATACAGGCCTACAATTAATTAGGGCCCGAGCACGAAAGTGCAACGGCAGAAACATGGCAGAAACAGTGTCCTAGCACAAAGTGTAAGGAACCTATTGTTTTTGCTCTGATTTTTATTAGGGCCCGAGCACGAAAGTGCAAGGAACCTATTGTTTTTGCTCTTCTCCACGGGATACTAATTTTTCATGGTCTTAGGATACTCGAATCCTCACAAAATTTTCACACAGCTTAGTTCTGGTGGGAAATCCAATGTTCTGCAGTGACTGTCGGGCGTGGCCAGGGGGCTCAATAGCGCCACTAAACAAACACTATTGATTGACTAGATTTGGTGGGATTACTGCCTTTATTACAAAGAACACATTTCTGTTTCTGTTATGAGATATTCCTCAACAGGAAGTCAGCCATTTTGCACTTCCATCATTTTCAATTATTTAAACAGATGTTTGAGGCACTTCGGATGCTCAAAGAGCCACAAAACTTTGCAGCTACACTCAAACTGGTAATGTTTCAAACAAGAATGATAGTCGAACCCTCACGAGACTTAGCATGTTCGTCAGAAGGATTGTTTTGTATTAGCTGATATGGTTTGGGGGTGTGGTTGTGGAAAATTAACTCAATAGCGCCCCCTACAAAATTTCAACAAAGCAGCCCCTGCTGTACGTTTTAACTAGCTGTACGAACCTCAGGAGACTGATGTATCATCTCTAGACCTAAAAATAAGCCTTTTGGAGCCATACCCTAAACCCAACAGGAAGTCGGCCATTTTGAATTATTTTTGAAATGTTATCCATTTTAGACTCTCCGTACTTTAACAAACTCCTCCTAGAGCTTTAACCTGATCGACTTCAAATGTGGAGAGCGCCATCTTAAGAGACTTGCGATGTTAAATTGCAAAGCTTTTTTTGATAGCTCAAACGGCATGTCCAGGGTATGGTGTTGAATTTTGATGTTTCGCCATAAAAAAGAAAGTGGCATGTAAATGGCCTAGACACGGTCAGAGTTGTCCCAAACTTCACATGTCAACCGCTTAGAGACTTACATGTCAATGTCCGGTCACAGTGATAGTGCCAACTACTGGCATCAGGAAAGGACATGTTTCAAACTTTACCTCTTATGCCTCATTTATATTTATACCCCACATAGCGCATTAGGACAAAAATGTCCATAGTGACTTCACATGGCTAGGGATGTACCTCACAAAACTTGGCACGCATGTCAGAAGGGGTGTTCTTTGTTGTCTAATATGGTTGCGCTGCAAGGTTGTGAAAAAATGGCTCAATACGCCTCCTACAAAATTTCAATGAAGCAACCCTTGCCGTATGTTTTACGTAGCTGTACGAAATGTGGGGGGCCGATTTAAGATCTCTCTAACTCATACCCTAAAGTCATCAGGTAAAACTGTGTAAAACACAGTAATCAGATTACTCTCTAATTATTAGGTTAGTCTGTGTGAAACACAGTAATCAGATCACTCTCTAGTCATCAGGTTACACTGCTTGAAACACAGTAATCAGATTACTCTCGTTATCAGGTTACACTGTGTGAAACGTGGTAATCAGATTTCTCTCTAGTCATCAGGTTACAGTGCGTCAAACACAGTAATCAAATAACTCTTTAGTTATCATGTTTCATTGTGAAACTAGTAACCAGATTATTCTAGTCATCAGGTTACAATGTGTCAAACACAGTAATGGGATTACTCTCTCATTATCAGGTTACACTGTAAAATGTAGTAATCACATCACTCTCTCTAGTTAGGCTCTCAGGAATGTTGTTTTCACAGAAATTTCCTCTGACTCGGAATGATGGGGAAATGAAATGTCCATAGGTTGATGGATGTGGACCAGTCGCTGGTCTCTTCATTAGAACTTTGTTGAAGAGTATTATGAAAAAGATTTAAAACAAATTGGACTTTTGCGAGGATCAAACCCACAACTCCAAGAGTATGAGACTCGTGTTCTTCCCACTTTGTTCATTTATGTATCGCTGTGCCCCCCAAGCTTACACTTTCTGTATGTGGAGAAACCCAAACAACAGTAGGATGAAAGTACATTGTTAGACAGTTCTGTGCAGTAGATGTTTCACTCTCCGGCCCAGAAGGCGGCGCTGTGACACTAGATGCCGCAGTTAAAAATAAGTAGAAGAAGACGATAGTTGCGGGAAAACTGAAGCGGATGGCCCCTGAGTTAACTCCAAAATCTAAGAAAACAAGGTACATTTGGAAATATATGTATAAATATAATTTTACAACTAGTTATAGCCATTAGAAATGGTGATGTACTGATGTATTGGTCTGCCGAAGTTTCACGTCGATTGTCTTAATCTGAGAAGTCAGAAAGTCAGGAGGGCTGTGTTGGTTGTGGAAGTTAACCTCCCAAAACAAATCTTAGCAGCTGAGTCTGCATGATGTTTAGTTAGCTGCCAACTTAAGATACTTACACTAAACTCTGTTTTGTAACTGTACAATATCCTTACCAAACGTTGCCAATGTGTGTTAATGCTGACTGATCTCGGCGTAATATTAATCTTCATCTGCTTTAACGTTACTACCAGTGTTGATTATCAGTAACGTTATCAGCTAACGATATCCACAGATACGCTTACAAGACCCCTACTAAACATTTGCATTTATGAAGCTTATATTATCCTATTATAAATAATGTGTAGACATTATTAACGTAATGTGTTTCAGCAAGTAGGACGTAGTACTGTATAACTAGTTTATGAGCATAAGCCAGACACATAATAGCTGGCTACCTGGATAACAATACAATATGTGTGTACAATAGATGTGACATGACCAAAGTACACATAACTCATAATTTTACTGCAGCGGGTTGTCATAATCGCAAAGACATGACAAGGTCAGATTGAGTAATTCACCGTTCAGTCAACAATAGGACATATAACCGCAATAAAAAGACCAACGTCTATTATCAGCTTATATATTTAAGTATTGGTTCAGGTGTGTCATGTTGATGCCAGTCACATTACAGTGCTCTGTATAGTCATTTTTATTTTTTTAATTTAGACAGCAAAAACTTTCATCTCTGAATTAAGTTGTATTTCGTATAAGGATAGCTAAATAGTATAAAATCCCGACTCTACCAGTAACAGGCTCACTGTGTTTTGTTGTTGGTTGTTAAAGCCTGTAAAGTAGTGTATTGTTTACAACCTCTGTGTTTTCCTTTGTAGCTTTTTTCCAAACATCACCATGAAAACCCCAAACGCCACAGATATCAAAAGGGGGATTTCAGTCCTTTGGGAGACTCTGCAGTGTCCCATATGGTGAGTCATTCACACCAAGAAGTTGAAAAAGCAAAATCTGTTGCATCTACATTATTTTTAAGTTTGTTTGTCTACTTACTTCATACTGTCATTTACATCTAGCTTGGATTTAATGACTGCACCTGTGTCTACTAAGTGTGACCATCAGTTTTGCAAGTACATAACGTTTGATTATTCCTTATTTTGTTAAAGAAACTGATATTTTAGTTTGGTGTTTTTTTGCATGCACTCACAAACAGTATGTGTGTTTTTTTTTCTTTTTCTTTAGATTTTGTATGATGAAGCTTTTGGAAAACACCAAACAAAACAGGGTTAACTGTCCAGTGTGTAAAGCCAAGATAACTAAAAGGTTGGACAAAATCAATAAGATGATAAAATAACACTGATTTGTTGTTTTTACTTATACTTGCATAAGCATAAGTGTGTTTTTTCACTTATACAGGAGCTTACAGGAGAGCCCTGGGTTTCAGAGACTTGTAGTAGGATTGCAGGACATGATACAGGCATATGAACATGACACTGGCACAAACTGTAAGACTATATCACATCACAGACCTCTTAAAATTAGTTAAAATGAACTTACAGTACATCATCTAATAACATCACTTTTATGATTTCAGACTTAACTGGTATGCCCCAGCAAAACAGACAAGCAGGGTAAGACATTTGAACAGTAACATTTAAGTTTTCTGTCATCTGAAGTACCACAAATGCAAATTTATTCACAATAGTAGCTCCCTTTGAATTTTCACCTGTATTTTTCTCTACGAAGAGCCACAAATGCTGAAGCTACTAAAAACTGTCATGATGTGTCATCTGGAGAGACACCTGGCCTTTACTGGGACAATGCGGAAAACAATTATGATCTTCCAAGGTCTTGCTCCTCAACTGTAGCAGGTAAAATCTTGACGCCTTGTATGGTGATGCATCTTTTCATCTATTAAATTAATATCAAATTAATTGGCAGATTTACCCTTATTTAAACTGACTGTATGCGGTGGTAAATGCGGTACACATTATTCATATTAAAAGTGTGTTGTCTTCCAAAAGGTTAATTATTTGTCATTTCCCCATTCCTCTTTTAGCCCAGAATGGGTACGCAAGACTTATGGAGCTTGAAGACACAAGTCCTTTGACAACAGAAAATGAAGGCCTGGACAGTGGCCTTGGAGAGGCGCCGCCAACTTCTGACAAGAAAATGCACAGCCCTTCATCAATCCCAGACGAGACTGAACACAGACCTTTAAGAAAGTCCTTAAGGAAGAAACCGAAAAAGGATAATGACAAGATTCTTGACCACAAACAGAAGAAAAGTCTAGAGAAAGTCGCCGAGTGGCTCATGAAAGTTCCAACTGAAGGAAGTCTCGAGTTAGAGAAACCCAACGATGACGCCGAGGACTCTGACAGCTGTTCTTCCTCTTCAACAATAGATGTCAAGCAACACAATAGTGATGTGAATCCTAGGAGAGCGGATCGGGCCAAAGCCCTTGAGGAGCAGGTGTTCGGGGCCGTCTACAAACGAGAGCGAAGAGGGAACAGGAGCGTCTCTCTTCCGCTTAATGTATTTGTTGAACCACCAACAATTAAAAAAACCCAGACAGCTTCCAAAAGAAAGAAGAAAAACACTCTCACTCCTGCTAAATCCAGCTCTGGAGATAAAGATGAAAGTGACATGGAAGAAGAGCAACAAGTGATAGATGAAGTAAAGAACACCAGCAGTGACATTTTTAAAGAAGCAGAGGAAAATGGCGAAGATGAGATTCTGTGTCCCTCGTCTGATGTTAGACAACAGCAACCCGAAGGAAAGTCAAAGAAAAGGATGTGTGATACTCTGCAGCAGTTCGACAGCGATTTGCAAGAGCAAGCTAAGGCAAAGTCAGAAAGTACTGAGGAAAAGAAAAGTGACAAGAGGAAAGGTAAAAGCATAAGGTCACAAAAAGGCAAGCCTGCTAGAGCGCCAAAACCCCTTGTTTTGGTTGGAGTTCAAAATGAAGAAACTAAGACTAGACCAAGGTCAGAAGAAGTCCAAGTTCATATTGAGAATTACCCTAGCAGCGAGGACCAAGAAATCCCTGTCACAAGGAGCAACAGGAGAAGTAGAAGACTTCAACTCTTCGCAGAGGAAGTCCAGGAAGGACACAAGAAAGCAAATTTGAGAGGCGATATACCTGAAAAAGACAGAAATGCTGCAAAGCAATCTGAGGATGCCAAAGGTGGAACATTGGATAAGACGGCATCACCTAAGCATGGAAACATGACAAAGGGAGCTGAAAGAAATGGATGTATTTGTGATCAAGACTTAGGAGGAATAGAAAACATGGACTCTGGTGTGAGGACGTCTTATTTGAAATCAACAGAAAATGCTGAAGTGCCAAATGCTGAAACTGTGTCTGAAGCTAGCGCTGCTTGTTATGCCTCCGTGGTCCCAAATTCTACAAGTCCAACTGAAGCAGGTGTGCTAGATGCTACGCTTGAAAGTGACAGTCCAAAGAGTAATTTCCCAAACAATATTCAGCTGGAGACCTCCGCTTGTGAGACTAAATGCGCTGGAACAGAAAACGAGGAGGAAAAGAATGACAGCGAGGTGGACACAGAGCAACTGCTGTGGAGCTTCAAAGCCACTAAACGGAAATCCTTCCACCTGGGAGGTCCAAATGTGAAAAGGAGCCGTAGCGTAGATGAAGAAAACATGCAGGGTGCCAAAACAGAGGAGAACCAGCGCGTTTGTTCTGGTGTTGGATCTGCAAAAAATCAGATCCATAAAAAGACATCTAGAATCACAAACCAAGAGGCATTGAGAGACAATGAAAACTCATCTTGTAGTGATTTGATCTCCCCTTCCATCTCACCCGGCCTGACAAGAAAAAGATTTGTTGAGAAACCAGATCAAGTTGTGGTAGAAGCCTCGATCCCTGAGAGCAGTTGTTCAAGTCAGGACATTGCTGGTGGTCACTGCATCTCCAGGGATAGCATTAGCAGTGCCCTTACTCCAAATAAAGTCTCAAAGTGTGAAAGAGAAAGTCCTCATCTTTCTGTTGTGCCTCAGGTAGTAGATTCTGGGCTGCTCTTCACAGCCGTTGAACACGAGAAGCTAAATGCACCCTCAAAGTATTCTACAATCACAGAGAATCGCCTTGATTGTACCGTGAGAGACGCTGGCAGAGTGGAGGAGATGAGAGACAGCGTTTCAGCCGCCAGTGGGAAACACTCGGGCAACGCCGCCGAACAATCTTTAAACACAGAGTCTTCTTTAACCCCTGATGGCCTTGGAATACCAGTTGTACAAATCGTCCACGAGGCGAAATCGTACAGCGGCAGTAGCGGACAGCTCAGCGCCCATTCCTCCATCAAGAGCATGCCCAGGAAGAGGACAAGGGCCCAGAGGCTCGAATCCTCATCGGAGTCAGATTGCAGCGGAGAGGGATTACCGACATTGACTGAAATTTTTGGAATGTCAGCCCCTCCCTCTGCTGTTACCCAGGATCAGGGAGACTCCGGTGAAGCTAACAACAGATGTGGGGGCGTTAAAGCTGATGCGGCGGAACACTTGAGCCGTCCACCTGCGTGCCCCAGCCCTGAATGCATTGACAGCAGCCAAGCGTCTGTGGACTTGTTTGGCACGCCAGATGAATGTAAGTTCATTCTCAATAACCGAAATAGTTTGAGTTTTTTTGTTTGTTTGTTTGTTTTGGGGTTTTTTTTTGTTTGCAGCCTGCTGAGATTACGCAGTACAGTAAGTCTCCTCTTTTGTTACTAATCTGCCAAATATGTGCTTGCTCTGTTGTTTCCCACTGTTACAATGTGTGTGTCTGAGGGATGTGGGGGAGGAAACTCATTCTCAAGCAGTTAGACACAAAACAATTGGATTATCTTTTTCTCTCTGCAGGTGATGTTCCAGTAAATGACACCGGCGTTTCCATGGAATCGTCACAATTTTCAAGCGAAGTCCTTGTCACACAGGTAAATATGATTATGTTCTCAATTACTTTGTTTTTTTTATACATGGCTGTGAATAAATACTCCCTCTATTGTAGAAATAGAATATAAATGAAATGTAATTCTATTCTATGTAATAAATTGAACTCTGTCTGGTTGCTAACAGTGATGCACTGTCATGTTACGCCCCAGAGAGGGCAGCCACCACACTTACCCAAACCAAACTGTCAGCTGCAGGATGACAGACTACCTCGCTCAGTAAAAAATGTCCCCCTCAGCAGCTTTCTAAATTGCATTTCATTTACGTTGGAGGAAATGCTGCCTAGGAGATGATTCTTGTTTTCTACCTCATCCATCTTCCAGCCCTCTCACTTTTATCTGTCGACTATATTTGACTGGGAGTTAAAGTTTCACGCCCTTGGGTTTAGAAAGGGCCCCAGGATTGCACACATCTGAGAGTCCGGAAGTTTTTGCATTACTGTGAGGCGTGTTTGTGTGTCTGTATACATAATCAATGCACTTGGTGCTGCTAACTCAAAGGATGAAATTCAAAGTATTAGTCCAGTGAAGCATTGAAACGCACACTCACTTTTAAAAGAATGGACTCTGTTCTTCCAAACCAGCACCAGATGAAAAAGCTGTTTTCACTTCTTAAATATTATATAATCTCTTTCTCGCTCTCTTATTTTGCCATGCGTTCTCCTCACTAAGTGCTGTCTGGCTGCAAAAGCACACATTTTCTTCCAATAATGACCAGCTGGCTTCAACTGGTTCCTCCTCACTGATGGACAGTTGTTATTGTTTCCATATGTCAGTGCAAGAAACTAAATGGGCAGCCAGTATGTGTCCCCTATTTTTTTGTATTCTATTAAAGTGTATGACTCATTTGTGATTATATGTGTGTCTACTTTACTTGGTTGTCTTCCTCTTTCAGCAAAAGATAGCAATGCAGAAGGAGCTGGTGAGGTTGGAGAAGTTGATGGCTCTGGTGTCAGAGGTGCTTCAGGAGAAAGAAGAAAGTCCCACCAAAGAAGTTCCCTCAGAAACAAAGCAGAGCAGCAAAACCACAGGTGAGCAGATAAGAAATTTTGTTTTTGGCACGACTAGACAATTAAACTTAGTAAATGACTGTTTAAGCCAAAATTCACTGAATATTTTCAGATTTTATTACCGTAGTTTTACATGATGTTAAACTGAAAGTTTACCCAGTGTTCCAATTTAATATGAAGTGCAGGTCAAAGATGCTGGATTACTACCCTTTTCTTCTTCTTTGAGGAACATACCTCAATAACCCCAAACTGAAGTCTTTTCTTTTTAGTTCAGCTTATGTATTGGCTTGGTGAAAGTACTGAGAGCTGACGATTGTTTTGTATCCCCAGGCCCAGACACCCACAGACCCCTCCCGTGTGACCAGGGCACAGTCCAAGGATCAGACCTGTAAGTAAAGCTTTTCGTAATACTGGCTAGAAATTTTTTCTATGTAGACATTTTTACTCTCCTGATAAGATGTTCTTGTTCTCATAAATTAGTAATTTATTACTTTGAACTACAACATTTTTGAAAGAAAGAATAGTTTGACTGAATACATTCTGAATAGGTAATACATAAAACTGAAAATATAATAATATATCAACGCACAATAGCACAATATTGTTAGCATAAAAAAGTACAAAAATAGTACATACAATGGTACATCTGTGTGCTTCAGTTTGTTTAATTGCTTAATATCTTTTGCAAAACAAAATCCGACAGAAACAACAGGCATCACATACAACTATATTTCAAGCTACGAATGAATGCTGCCTGTCCAAATTCCCAACATGAAGTCATTGTTTGCAGTATGCAGGAAATAATTAAGAGCTGAAGATATCACAGCTAAGTGATTCCCAGGAACTGGACAGGTTGAAACCAGTTTTACATGGTAACCGTCTTCATTCCTACAGAGAAGATATTCTTGATGTTGGCAACTCTCTGTATTCATCTTACTGATAGTATCATTCAAAATGTTAGGGGGATTTGTCTACGTGCGACTTTAGATCTTTCCAGGCCTATCAGGGGCATCAGTGTTTATTTGGGTAATTGTCAGTGCCGAAAAAGTACATGTAACTTTAAAGCAATAGTTGGACTTTTGGGGAAATATGCTTCTTCATAATAGATGAAAAGATTGGCCATTAAATATAAAGCTGCATTCGGTTAGTTCAGCTTTTTAGAAGCAGCTAGCCTGATTGATAGAAAGTTGTTTTTTGGTCAGTAGACCAGTAAACCAGTCTGCCATGACAATCCTTAAAGTCCAGCCTGACGTCAATTACAAATCGAATGAAATAATATCTGCCTCAGCGTGTTGTATTTCTCCCCTCTAAGGATTGTATACATTATTAATACATTTCAGATTGAGCTATATTTCAATACCACCATATTAAGCAGAACAATAACTGGAGCAAGTGGCATGTAATTGGTCTCTTTCGGTCTTTGACTGAAGGAGAAAGTTAGCGTGTGTGTGTGTGTGTGTGTGTGTGTGTGTTGCTCGTCTTGTTCTCAGAGGGTGATGCATCTCAAGAGGACAGGCGGATAATCTCACTAATGAACCCAGAATCTGCTTATGCTGTGGAGAATAAAAAAGTCATTAGTGACTCCTTCTTATATGTCATTTAGAGCACTTAGAGGGAAACTTGTGTTGCCACAGTAATTTATCTCTACCGCTTGACTGCCCTCCCCCAACCTCTCGCCTTGCAGGGTTCTAAGTGCTGTCCTCCAGGCAAGAGAGAGGGAGAGATGGAAAAAGACAGCAGATGAAAACACAGAAGGCCTCAGATATACAAGTTCTGAATTAAAAAGCATATACTCCATGGGCATACTGGTGAAATTGGGCACTGGAGTATATGACGAGCGTTCAATGAGCCATTATCACTTTGGTACAGAGAATTGAAATGGAGGCACGCTGCCAGTTGTCAGTATTTCAGGAGTCTTTGAGTGAAGAAATGAACCCAAAAGAAAACAAAGGAAGACAACTTCCAAAACTTGAATCATATGAGATATGAAATAGCCTCTAATATACTAATAACAAAGGACATATTATGGATATTGAGTTTCTGTCAATACCGAGTTCAGTGCCGAGAGTGTAAGCATATTTGATTTGAAATGAAACATTTGACTGGGTTTAAATAGCTGCTATTCAGCAGGATAATTTATTCATTTGGATCTCCTGTAGCTACCACTACCATGGTAGCATCTACTCTTCCCGGGTTCACATAATGTAAAACAAAACAATGAATCAGTAACAATAAAACCCACATTATATCGAGTTAGTCGGTAAAATATTTGATACAGCTCAAAAATAAGAGTACCACTATAAACACCCTATACAGTGACTGAAAAATATAATAAATGAAATAATATAAAATTAATAAATAAATAAAAATGAAACTACACCAAGAAAGTTCCTTTTAATGATCATACAGTGGATAGAAAAAGTCTACAAACCCCTGTTAAAATGCCAGGTTCTTACGATGTAAAATAATGAGGAAAAGATAAATCATGTCAGAGATTTTTCCACCTATAATGTGAACAATTTAATAACAAACTGAAATCTTCGAGGGGGAAAAATGAAAAATAAAAACCTTACCGTAACCTGGTTGCATAAGTGTGCACACCCTCTTATAACTGGGGATGTGGCTGTGTTCAGAATTAACCAATCACATTCGAACTCAGGTTAACTAGAAGTCATTACACACCTGCCATCATTTAAAGTGACTCTGATTAATCACAAATAACATTCAGCTGTAAGATTTTCCTGATATTTTCTTAGTTGCATCTCTGAGAAAAAGCCATGGTCCGCAGAGAGCTTTCAAAGCATCAAAGAGATCTCATTGTTGAAAGACATAAGTCAGGAGACGGGTACAAAAGAATTTCCAAAGCATTAGATATCCATGGAACACAGTGAAGACAGTCATCATCAAGTGGAGAAAATATGGCACAACTGTGACTTTACCAAGAACTAGATGTCCCTCCAAAATTGACGAAAAGACGAAAAGAAAACTGGTCAGGGAGGCTTCCAAGAGGCCTACAGCAACATTAAAGGAACTGTAGGAATTTCTTGCAAGTACTGGCTGTGTGGTACATGTGACAACTATCTCCCGTATTCTTCATATGAATGGGGTAAGGTGGCAAGACGGAAGCCTTTTCTTACAAAGAAAAACATCCAAGCACAGCTGAAGTCTGCAAAAACAAACATCCCCCAAAAGCACGTGGGAAAATGTTTTATGGTCTGATGAAACCAAAGTAGAACTTTTTGGCCATAATTCCAAAAGGTATGTTTGGTGTAAAAACAGCACTGCACATCACCCAAGGAACACCATACCCACAGTGAAGCATGGTGGTGGCAGCATCATGCTTGGGACTGTTTTTCTTCAGCTGGAACCAGGGCCTTAGTCAGTGTGGAGGGAATTATGAACATTTCCAAATACCAGGCAGTTTTGGCACAAAACCTTCAGGCGGCGGTTAGAAAGCTGAAGATGAAGTGGAAGTTCACCTTTCAGCATGACAACGACCCAAAGCGCACATCCAGATCCACAAAAGCATGGCTTCACCAGAAGAAGATTAATGTTTAGGAATGGCCCAGCCAGAGCCCAGACCTGAATCCAATTGAACATCTGTGGGGTGATCTGAAGAGGGCTGTGCACAGGCGATGTCCTCGCAATCTGACAGATTTGGAGCGCCTTTGCAAAGAAGAGTGGCCAAATATTGCCACATCAAGATGTGCCATGCTAATAGACTCCTACCCAAACAGACTGCCTGCTGTAATAAAATCAAAAGGTGCTTCAACAAAATATTGGTCTAAGGGTGTGCACACTTGCAACCAGGTTATTTGAGGGTTTTTATTTTTCATTTTTCCCCCTCAAAGATTTCAATTTGTTTTTCAATTGAATTGTTAACATTATAGGTGACATTAAAGGTGGAAAAAGTTCTGACATGATTTATCTTTCATTATTTTACATCAGAAGAACCTGGCATTTTAACAGGGGTGTGTAGACTTTTTCTTTCTACTGTATAGTCGGATATTATGTGCCAAAGTGTGTCCAATTTGGAGAGGGGCCTGTGTTCTGTGCCGTTAGGCGTTTATCTTTTTAAAAAGAGTTTAACTTGTTAAACGTGTCTTTTAATAATAACCCTAAACATAGAGACAATACAACCCATTTTTCTTTTTACTGAATCATTGACTTGGCAAAGGATTTGCAACCATGGTGTATGTTGCCTTGACTACTTACTTTCTGCCCCTTACAGCAGGAGGCTGTATAAAAAGGGATACGATTTCTACACTGATATCTAATGTGGATGCAAACACCTTCAACTTACAGCTGAGTCAGCACTTTAATCATATAGTTATTGTTTTATTTTAGATTTTCTGCAGGAGCCACCACAACAGCAGTGTGTCACTGTCCTAATACTTATTGCCTGCACTGCACCATGTTTCAGTGCTCCACAGAAGTTAATGTACACGTCTCTGTCTTGCAGCAAAGCTGTGCCTGAAGCAGAACGAGAGCCGAGCACAGGACCGTCTGATGGCAAAGGGGCCCCCCAGCCCACCGCAGAGATGTGTAAGGATGCAATGTTGGACAGAATGTGACACATGCAAGAAAGTTTAACATGTGTAACTGTGTTTTTCTATGAAAGATTAAAAACATTTCAGTCATCCAGGAGCACATGAGCTGAAAGAAACATTTTTTTTTGATAATCTCATGATTCCACACTTGATCCTCCACAATGATTCCCCGAGTACATAAATGGAGGTCTATATATGGCAACTGCCTCACTGCTTCTCAAAATGTTTTTAACATGCCAGCAAAGATTAGTTTGACTGAGTTGAGGAGAGTTCTTTTGAACTGAGAATTGGGTCAGATTGGATTAGGTTTTGTCTGTATGTGACTCTTTTTATTTGTTTGTTTTCTCTCTCTCTCTCTCTCTTCAGCCATGCAGCGATCCACGCACAAAGGAAACAATGTAACAGGCACCGGAGCCTCCAAGACACTTAGTTCAAGTTCAGCAGTCAAAACTTTAAAGAATGATGGTTCACCATCAGATGCACAAGAAGACAAAGAAAATAACACTCCTCTAAGAGATAGAAGTAAAGCTAAGATGGTGCTAGTGACATCTGGGTTAGGCCCCAATGAACAGGTGGGCATTCACCCATTCAATCAATGAATGTGTTTATTTTAGTGCCTTTGCATGGTAGGATACATTAACCAATCAGATGTTGTTGCCTATAGATAATGGTGAAAAAGTTTGCCAAGCGAGTTGGTGTCCGTGTGGTTTCCCAGGTGACTCCAGAGGTGACCCATATTATAATGCACACAGGTGAGTATGCTCACGTAGAGGAAGCGTGAAGATATGACAATAATGTACTTTTAGTGAAGACTGTAACTAAGTGGTTGATATACAGTGAATCTATTAAATTGGCTATTGAAAATTCCACTTTTAATCTCCCAAGGTCCCGTTTTATATAATATATAATATTTTTTCTTGTGCAGGAACATTTGACTTTCCCCAAGTACATTTTCTTTTTACATGTAGTTGCAGCTTGTTTTGTGCGTCTTTTTAAAGCGCTCCTCAGAGATAAGCTCGCCGTTTCTGTCTCACCCACTCACTCTCTCCTCCATTCATCCGCTTGTTGCTAATTACCCTCTCTGATAGATTATTTTTAATTTCAGAGCTCGCTGTCTCCAAAGCACCACATTAACTGTCACTGTTTAAGAAGCCCTTTTTCTAATGGCAGCTGTTTCCCGGGTAACCAAAAAATGGGAACATCGGGCCTCTTGATCTTTGTGGTTAAAGGTTGGAAAGGAGCAGGAGGTGTCCCCTTCTCACCTTTAGCAGAAAATAATAATCATTTGAAATGAAGTTATGTTTGAGGTGCATCGATAACATGCACTTGACTTTTGCCTGGAATACAAATCAATAGATAATTAATATATTTCTTGACGGAAGAATGTCTGTGAGGGTATTCACTCTTTTAGTGTTCATTCCTAAATGGTTTGATGCCATTTAAAAGAACTGTTGATGCTTCAAAACCCCATTCCTACACAAGAGTACATTCTTGACGTTCTCTGTATTCATCCATCTGATCATTGAAAATGATGGGGTGATTTGTCAACACCCATGTTTTGATCTTTCTTGTCTTATCGTGGGCATTGATTTTGTATTTGTGGTAATGGCCACTGCCTACAAAGTACATGTAAACCGCTGTACCACTGTAAAGGTTGTTGGTGTGGAAAAGCACGTCATTCTTTACCTAAGTAATGAAAATGTAAAGGGTAACTTTGGTATTTTTAATTTAAGTCAATAATGGGGACAACTATTTTTTTTAAAAATTGGTCTAGTATTGAGCGAGCGCTCTACAGTTGCCAAACCAAAAAACCAAACCCTTTAAAATACCAAAGTCATACAATCACGAAAACTAACAGGCCGAGGCAGCGGTAGGCCAACAACTCCTGTCTCTGCGACCAAATTACTGATCAAGAGCGTCTGGTAACTTTGAACAGAGATATATCGCGGCTGTTTCTGGTTAAACAAAAAGGATCTTACTCTTTAAAATAAAAATAGAAGGAATCCTTCCCACAATGTTGACAGACACTTATAATAACAATCTGAGCCTGTCAGTGGCAAAAACAAGCACTTTAGTGGACGTACTTTGACGGCACCCAATTTCCCAGAGGAATTACATTGCTTCCCTGTCTTGCTTCAGCCGACTGTCTTGATCAATACTGAACCAATTTCAACAAAAATATTGTCCCCCATTAGTCACATCACATAGACATAAAAACATGGTAACATAGGGTTGAAAAATAGAGAAATTACCCTATAAGTAGCATAAATGATAACAGTAAAAAAGTAATTTCAGGGAAGAGTGGGCAGTAGTTACAGCTGTATAGTTTGTGCTTTATTTTGCATAGCATTAAAGCTTTCAGCGTGGTCTCTAAGAGGATGCATTTATTCTTTTCTACACATATTGTCTGTTTGTGTCTGCATACTACAAGATGTGTTCATTCTGTAAAATAAAAATGAGTATTTCCTAAAAGTAAGACACATGCTAAACAAGGATTGACCTCAAGGTTCTCAACCTCACAAACTAACTAACTAACTAACTAATGGACCATCTGTAATAGGAACCATTATACCTCATTTATCATCATTTCAACTCAAGGTGTGTTTATGTACGTACGTGTACTACTAGCACATGTTGTCACACATCTGTTTCTTTTCTTTTCTCTGACAGATGAACAACTGGTATGTGAGCGCACGCTGAAGTATTTCCTTGGCATTGCAGGCAGGAAGTGGGTGGTGAGCTTCCAGTGTAAGTCCTGACTCACTTTACTGTCAAGCTCCATCGCTGATGAGCTGCCAACAATTACTCTAAATACAAAACAGCATGATGTGGAGGCATAGGCTGGAATAAAAGGAGCGTTACATAATACAGTAGCCACCAGAATAGTGTTTGTGCTTCTGACAATAAGCTCATATGTTTCTTATTTCCTCTCCGCAGGGATATCAGAGTGCTTCAAACAAAAGAAGCTCTTAGATGAGGTACGCTCGCCGTTGATTTCCTGCTACATCTCTGTATGTCTCAATATTGAATTAAGGCTCCTGCGTGATGAATCTCTCCATGTGGTTCCCTGTGATACCTCATAAATTATTTGTCATCCATTTGCTTTAGCAATCCCTGCATCTGGGTCTGTGCTATGCAAGTATAATCCTTTGCCAGGCTTTGTTTAATATCTCCATTAATTTAAAACAATTGCTCCGTCGTCCATGCCAGTTTATAAGCATTTCTATGCATCGTATATTGTATGTATCAATGGACTCCACACAATTATAAGATGAACTCTGTCAAACTGAAGTGTGTTCAGTGTACTCTTAGGACCGTATTTGATCCTTAAAACAAATCAAATATTATTAGCTTTTTGAGGGTGAATAACTGCTTTATTACTTAAAAGCTTATAGCTACAGGAAAGGTGTTATACCATTGTGATTGAGGTTCACTTACTTAATTCACATATGCTGAGGTAATTTTGTTTTTTATTCTTCCCCAAACAGAGTCTCTATGAAGTTAAAGGTGATGTGGTGAATGGGCCAAACCACCAGGGCCCCATGAGAGCTCGCACCACTAAAGACAATAACGTGAGTCCCTTACACACTGAACAGGGTGGCAATTATACACTTGTTTATTTGATTTAAATAGCCTCCAAAGGTAAAAGCTAGTCAGTGAACTCCCCAAGGTTTCACTTTTGGAAGGTGTGCATGTAAAAAAAAAAAAAAAAAAAACTAAACAAGGAAACATGTTTTTTTTCTGTTGCCAGCTTGCGAGTACAATCTAAGCTACAATATTTTACCTTACAAACCCCAGAAAATGTTAGATACATTTAAATTTACATATAAAAGTATTTCTCAGCAACATTAAATATTCATGACTAAATTAGCAATCAAAGTTTAAGAAAAGATTATCCTTAAATATTATTTATTAAAAATTTATTTTAAATTAAAAATATGCTTCATCAAGACTGTGTGGGTGTGGTTTGATCTGATTTGACTCATGGCAGCCTGGAAACATGAGCAAACGGCCCCACAGGCGTTATCACAGAAGTGTGTGACGTCCCCTTTTTCCAGATGAGTTCTCCCACTTCAAACCAGTGAGAGTTACTCTGACAAAAACACATCTACAGAAATCTGTCATGTAAAATAACCAACGCTGAAAATGACGTTTTTATGTAGGGCCCCGTCGCTTATAGTGAAAAGCTGAGAGTTGAAGTTGTGAGACATCAACTAATTCATTGATTTAATGAAGTTAAATTCATACAAGTACTGATCCAATCAGCAAACATTTAAATGATGATGGGGTTACAGCGTCTACAGACTACAAGAAAATGTTTAAAATATTCATCTGAAGATTAATGAGATTGATATGCATCGAAGGGTTCTTGCAAGAGTCAAACCAGCGACAGTGCAGTTACATAGCAAAGTTTACTTGTTGAACTCTGGACCACGAGGATGCCCCCATTAAAGAGTAATTTAACAGTTGGTGAAGCAAACAGAGCAATACATACACAATCTAGTGAAGAGGGCCCTCTCTTTTTTTCACAATATAAATGCATTTAAACTGCTTGCTTTTCATTTTATTCACCCTTTGGCCCCACAGAGGCCTTTATTAGAACATCAGTCCATTCTACAAGATTATCATCACACTACATACTGTATATTATAGGTCTGAAGAGTGAGCCAATCACTCAGTCTGGTTTCAACACCTAAAACATGTCAACAACTGTCTTCTGTGTTACTAAAGAACTGACTGATTACAAAAAAAACAGTTTCAGTGAAAAAAAGAGAACCACAAATCAACACATTAACTGTTGCGATTATTGACAATTATTGCCACCTCTATTGTTTGTGAAGGCACATTGTCTGACCACAAAGAGTAGCCTCATTCTGTGAAGAAAATCAAACTAGGTGTCCCAATAACAAACAGCATTTGAACCTGTTTCTTCCTATTGCGCCAGCCTCTTAGCTCAGGCCGTGTTGTAAAAAGCTAATTGTAATTTTCCTCTTGGTGTAAGGCCAGGAGGACCGGTTCCGTTGCCACTGAGGGGGAAAATTAGAAATGGCTAGATGTCATGTTGGCCGTATCGCTGCCTTTGAAGAACCTCCGCTAATTGAATTAGCTAGTAATTTCAGGCTTATTTAAGTGGCTTCAGCACAGCACTGGGACTTTGATGGAGACAGACAGATTGTCCTGTTCATACTCACTCTCTGTCACCTGCGCCGCTGTGACAAACAGATGAAGTGCCAGGACTCGGGAGTCTGTCACCAGAATGTAGATTCCCAGAGAAATCAGTTGAAAAATACTCGTGGGGGGGGGGGGTTTGCATGTTATCACATCACGCACTTTAATACCTCCTGAAGGACATTAGGTGTTGTCTAAATTAAAAATCTGTAACAAACACTTTTTCATCTCACCAAGCACCTCTGGCTAATGATCATTATAGACGGACAGGAAGGTGTGAGAAATTAGTATTTCTCTCTCCAGCAGCTCGGACATTAATCTTTCAAACCCTTCCATCCAGCCACGCACTGTAGATGAGACTGTGATGTGAGTTGCACATTTCCTTTCTGTGGTTATTGTGGTTCAAGGAAACAATTTCACATTCCCATTTCAAGCGAGCTTATTGGCCCTGAGTGCAATAAAACAATGTGTCCCTGGTGTCGGGCCAGTCGTTTTTCTTTGCATGCTTAAAGCGTGATATTACCTCAGTGAAGGTGGCTCTGTTTGCTTTTTTCTGTTGGACTCATCCCTGAATTTACAGTATTACAGTGAGAGCTAAAACTGAACAAGGTCTTGAGGTTTATTTTATTACACAATAACAGAGGAATACATGTTATAAATTGTAAGATGTGCTTGATTTACTGTTTCGGCTCTCAGAAACATACTCAACTGGATTGTTACGGCTGCCCTTTTAACAGTATTATTGAAATTGTCCGAAGGTTAAATCCACTGAAATGTCCTCTTTCGTTTGAATGTGGACATTTTGCAGGACATCTGACCCTAGATTCTTTTATCCTTACTTTGTATGTTCTTTTTCTCTTCAGTTACTCATGAAGGGCTACAAGATCTGCTTCCAAGGGCCTTTTACAGACATGACTACAGGTAAATCACATCAACAATGTCACATGTTCAAGTAAAGACTAGAGAAGTTTTTTTCTATGTGAGAGCAAGGGCTGAAATGTAACATGCAAAGTAGATCAAGGAATTGCTGAAGTTTTGAGGGTGATGTTGTTTATTAATAAAATTTGGTTGTTAAAGAAATAGTTTGACAATTCGGGGAAATACGCTTATTTGCTTTGTGACAGTTAGATGAGAAGAGTCATCTTTACACTGGTCATGTCACACTGTTGCACTGCGTTTTTTTGTACGGATTACACAAACTAGGTAAAACATGTTGTAGTTGTGAGCTTAAGAGCTTGCGACTGATAGACTGAATTTGTCACCTTTGCACCAAGTCAGGCTAGCCGTTTCCAGTTGTTTTGCTAAGCTAAGCTAACCAGGTCCTGGCTGTAGCATCATATTGAGCATACAGACATAAGAGTAGTATCGATCTTCTCACCTAACTCTTGGCTAAAAAACAAAAAATGTTGAACTGTTACTGTCATTAAAATTGGGACCAAAATATGTTCTGGAGATAAAGTGTATTATGTGTATGCTATTTGCTCTGTAAGCGACAACACTGAGCGGTCTAGGGAGGGGTGTGAAATGCAGACTTTTTACTTTTTTAAGGGAGTTTCATCCAGGTGTTTCTCACTGTAAGACCTGAAACTTCCATTTTTTGAATACCACATAATGTATGTAATGAGTCTAGCTAAGACAACTCTGTAGGCTTAGACATACACAGCATTCAAACACCACAGGAATTGAAGAAGCTGCTGTTTGCACTGTTGAGTTTTCTCAATCAAGAATACTTAGCTCAACCCGCACTTCTTCAGTTTTATTGATGTCTGTGTTCTGTAGAACTCCCGCCTTGCTTTCAAGAGATAAAGATGGGGAAAATAACAATAAAAAAAGGGGGGGAGTTAAGGAGGCAGTTAAAGTGATTTGCACAGGGTTTGACTGACACAGCTCGAAACCTGTGCTGTCTTTTAAACCCTGTCATTTCGGTACTGGAGAACAATGACGAGTTTCCCGAGTGTGTGGGCGGATTCACTATAGACTTGGGAGGTTGCTATGGTGTCAGTTAGCTGCCTGGAGTTTTTTTTTATTATTATTATTTTTCGGAGAAGAAAGAGGAAATGAGCCTTCAGTCGTGGCCAAACTGCTTTTGCTGAATCTGAAACTGGTGTAAATACCCAGTTCTTTTTTTGCAGTTTCTGCACCAGCCTTGTTATTGAACGTTGATGCAAATGATTTAAACTGTTGATGACCTCCATTGAAGTTGTAGTTCAATGTAGAGAGGAGTTTAGTTGCCCTTCAAACAACATACTTTTTTTTTTGCTTTACCTCTCCAGCATGAATGAATTGACAAATAGATCGTGGGTGAAGGTCTCAGGGGGTACATTACTTAAAAATCCAAACGGCAGCATTCTTTGGTTTCCGTCTTCCTGGGGCTCTTAAAGTGCTCCTGCAGCATCCTCCTGCTGCCTGCCGGATCGATGAAGCTTTGCTAATGGCTCGACATCTGCTAGCTAGCGTGAGGACTTTCCTTAACATGTCACAAACATGAGGATGGAGTCTGTTTTCTTCACCCAGTGGGATTTCATCCATTATTTAATTGCTCCCATTTGTTTACATGTTAAATTATGAGGTTATATACAACTTGTACTGCAAGTTGAATAAAGTTTTCCTGACATGAGCGTCCTCACGTTAAAGGCAACAACTAAGTGAAGCTGTTGATTTAGATATTTTTTTAAGGTGTGTTTGGTGTCTGATATGAAGTGTTGAAATATGAACAGATGTTTTCCAAGCCATGTTAAATGTGTGTTGACTGATTGCGTGAGATGCACATATTGATTTGAGTGGAGACTTAAGTATTGACTTGCTTTCCATCCTTCCGATCAAAGGAAGTCTGAGCTTGAAATGAGTCTGCTCGGTATCCCCTTGGGGTTAAAGAGGTGAAAGTGGAGAGAATTGAATTAAGGTGTGACCAAGGATACTTTATCAGAAACCCAGTCCAAAAAACAGTCAGTAAACCTTTACAGCCAACTTGTGTGTGTGTGTGTGTTGTAGATGAAATGGAGTGGATGGTGGAGCTCTGTGGAGCAGCTGTAGTCAAAGATCCACTTCTCCTCGACAGTAAACAGGTAAGTGTGTAAGAGTGTCTAGTCTCTCCCATTTGAACAAAAAAATAAACTAGAAAAAAGTCAGTTATTTTGCACACACATTCAGAAATTATTTCTAGCGCCACCATCAGATCAATATGTCTAATACTTTGGTTGATGAACAAGTGCCTGCAAAACTAATGACATCCCTATCAGCCTCAGCTGTTCTTGTGTGTTGTGCTAACTTGAAAATGTTAGCATGCTAAACTAAGATGGTTAACATACGGTAGTGAACATTATACCTTCTTAACAATGTTAGCATTGTCTTTGTGAGCATATTAACATGCCACCGTTAGCATTGAGCTCAAAGTACAGCCTCACAGAGGCAAGGCAAGTTTATTTGTATAGCACATTTCAACTACGAGGCAATTCAAAGTGCTTTACACAAAGCATAAAAGCATTATAGGAAAATTTTTAAAAGGGTGAAATAGAAAATTAAAACAGGATAGTAAAAGTTACAGTGCAGTGTAAGATATGAATCTACAGCCTTAAATTTGATTTAATTAAAGGAAGTGGTAAAAAGAAAAGTCTTCAGTCTTAATTTAAAGGAACTGAGCGTTTCATCAGACCTGCAGTTTTCTGGGAGTTTGTTCCAGATATACAGAGCATAAAAACTGAATGCTGCTTCACCATGTTTAGTTTTGATCTTGGGACAGAAAGCAGACATGTCCCAAACGACCTAAGAGGTCTAGATGGTTCAGAACAAATGTATTTTGGCTCTAAACCATTCAGTGCTTTATAAACCAACCAATGTGGCTGCTTAAATTCAGGTCTGAGTCCGTGACTACGCCAAGATTTCTGGCTTTGGTCTGTAGTCTTTAAAATTACTGATCACTATGATGGGATCATAGTCCCCTGGTGATATGGTTATGTAAATCTGTGTGTTATCTGCATAATTATGGTAACATATTTTGTTGTTTTTCATAATCTGAGCCAGTAGTGTATCATGACTGTAGACTCCTAGTCTTGCTTTTGCAGTATATAATGTTTTAGTTTTAATGATTCCAGTTTGCTCAAGATTCCTGTGACTCATATTTATACCAATATCAGCAAACTGTTACCTGCAGGGACTATGTGGCAGTAAAATGTATGGCTCCCCTACTGAACAATTCTTTGACTCATAAAGCCACAGCCACCATAACAGTTCATGTCTGTCTCCTGGGTTTGATTTTTATTTTTGAAAATGGCTCATGAATGCAGTGTTTAGCAAATGGCACATTATAAATGAAAGAAACTGAGTAATGCTGAAAATCCCCAGATCAAATATCCACCACATCAACAATCCTTAAACCAGCAAGTGTCAGCTGACATAATAGATAATCTGACATGCAAAGGTGAAAATGGAATTTCTTTCCAATTTGGCTGGCTATAAGTATATATGTTATACATATTGCTAATTTTGTAATCAGGCATAATTTCTATCTTTTTGTTACACAGAAGTCCCATCAGCTGGTCATTGTACAGCCTGGATCAGAGTCGTCATCATCCACATCCAGCAGTGAGTCTGAAAATAAAATGTCATTTTCTCCATCTACTTTTATAATACTTTCAATCATATTAATTGTAGTTATTTTCACTCAAGCGCTCTCTCCGATTTACTTGCTGACACAGAGCACATACAGAGTTCATAAAGATTGGAATTAGACTGACAGCTGCAGCTGGAGCTGATTACATAATTCATACCTGGGTTCCCTCAAGGGTTCGAGCCTCACACAAGCATAAACCCACACAGGAATTGTGTGTGATGGACAATTTGCCAATAGATATTTACATTATAATGTAGTACTACATTCCATTGTTTAATCTTGATACTTGTTGTCTACATGTTCTCAATGCAAAAGCAACTTTCTTAAAAAACACAAGGTATTTTTTTGTAGAATAATTGACAAAAGCGTTCCTACCACCGTCTATTGTTGTTTGGTTTTTGTAAAAGGTTATCAACACTTACCAAAAACACCACAGTGATGTTATTTTTTTTATAAATTTAAGGCAAATTATCGAGGCAAATAGTAACATTTAATGAAGACTGCCTGCTCAAACTAGCTTGTAGGGCTGAACGATGACATCGTTTTCAAATCGAAATTGCAATTTGATAGAACGTGATTAGCTAATCCTGAAGACGGGGATTAAAATGTAGATTAATTATACATGCATCTGACCCGTTTTAACCTCTTAACATGCCGTCAGGTCCTGGCGGCAGCTTTCGGTATGTGCACACAACTGCTATGTTAACTTCATACTCATGATACACCGCTTGAAAGCTAAAATCCTCGTGATTTGTCCAATGCAAACCATTTCAAGATACAATCAGTGCTTCTGTCAGACCAACCAGTACAAGCAAAATTGAGGCGACTCATCTATGAAGCCTCATAGTAATCCACCAATCGATTATATTCCAACAAAAATGGTCTTGTTACGTTGTCAAAGGTGCAGATGATCCAATCCAGTAAAAATATTTAGTCCAAAATACATTATTCCATCAATAAATCCCCAGGGACTGCTGCCGCATCATTTCATATTTGCCGGCAGACGTGGCTCATATGTCATTATAACTGTAATAACGCCGATTTGAATGTAAACTACGATAGCTTGTATTCAAAACTAACATAGCCCAAGTAAAAAAATTTGTTCAGTTTTCCTTGATTTTTGTGCTTCTACCATTGTTAAGTAGGCTACGTAGTTAAATCGTTTCTTTTGTCTGTTTTAACTGTGTTTATTGGTGATATACGATCCGGAGTCTGCAAAGGGTGTTTTATTTTGAAATCGACCAGATTCTCTATGCTGTCCTGTATCTGACTTCCTGCCTGGTTCATCTGCTCTGTGCTGCTTGACGTGGCTTCAGTCAAAAATAGACTGGCTGTGTGTATCGAACAAATCTTCAATACTTCAATAAAAAAAAAACAAGCAAATTGAATCGCTAAATCTGGCAGAATCGGCCCTGCGATGGACTGGCGACCTGTCCAGGGTGTACCCCGCCTTTTGCCCGATGTCAGCTGGGATTGGCTCCAGCCCCCCGCGACCCTGTACGCAGGATAAGTGGTTGACAATGGATGGAATCTGGCAGATCGTTCAAACCTACTAGCTAGAATTCAAGTGTTGTTAAGTATAAGGGCTTATGCAAATGGTTATTTTCAAACTTGCTAATAGTTACTTAGTTTATTACAAACTTTAAAAAATGAATTTCTAATTTTTGTAAATTTGTTATTTTTGTAGTGTTTTCTATCATGAAACAAAAATGTAACTAAACATTTGTCATGATATGGTGACCAAAAATGGAAAAAAGAAGCAGGTTTTTAATAGCAGCTAACAATGTTACCTAACGCAGCTTGCTCGCCAGGCTAGCCAGCCAAATGTTGCAAGGTATCTTCATTAGCTTGTATCTGCTAATGTAAACTATTCTCTCTTAGTAAAGAACAAGATTGTGATTTAGAAAAGGTGGTTGAATTTAATTATGTTTAGAATGTCTCATTCTCACGCTAGTGAATATTAGCGAAAGCAACGTTTTTTGAATCGCTTGATGAAATTTGAGATGGATGAAGCTATTAAGAGGTCTAGCTCCAGGCTGGCATTAAAATTATTAGTTTTTCTAGACTGTTCTCACTCACTAAAATAAGAAACTCTTATCTTTTTACCTGTTTGTAACCGTATCCACATTATTAATTACCATTTCACAAAAATATCTTCACATTGTCAACAAGGTTATCACAATGTAGTTAGTTTTTTCTTGTGTTTGTTTGTTTTGAAAAGAGATATGGGCAAGGTCTTTGGCTAAAGTCAGTAAATATGTGAATACACTGGTAAACTAAGGATCTGTTTACTGTAATGGTGACTGGTTGATGGTTACATTTATTGTTTGATTTCTTATCTGAATTCGCTGTAGTGAATGCATGGTCCCCACAAGCACAGAAATTTTGGCTGGTGTGCGTGACTGTGCACCTGTCTGTCCTTTAGTACATGGATTTGAATGTGTTTGTGCCTGTGTGAGGACCAGTTGGAGGGTGACAGAACGGTGAAATGGCTGAAATGATGCTGCCAGCCAAAATGAGACAGTTTCCCAACAAGAGCGACGGGAGTGACGTGCCAGGCAAGCAAGTGTGAAGGAAGTTAGGCAGCAGAGAAATGGACAGGAGAAAATTTCAGGTGGGGGGGGGGGGATGTCAAAACAAGCTGGCCACAGAAGAGAGAGGCTGCCATCACACAAGGAGAGCTGACAGTTTGAAACAGAAAGGGAGCAAGTGGCTCTGAGTCCTGCCTTCTCCTGGCATCCTAATTTGCACTGCTGCATATTTAATGCAGCTTTTCCTCCTCCTGGCACTCATAGCCCACGTAAAAAAAAAAATATATATATATATATATTATGGAAATACTGTACATACATATGATTTTGTCATTTGTAAACTCCTATTATCTGCTCAACAGGTCTTTCTACACAAGCCACAGTTGTGACACGTGGTTGGCTGTTGGACACCGTGGCAACCTATACCCTTCAAAACTACAAGAAATACACAACATGAGTAACCAAGTGCATTAAATCCACAGCCATGCATTGTCTTCCATCTGTTTTTTTGATTAGCTTAAAGCTGTTTGTATTGTATGTGCATGGCATGATGTATATAAAGTTAACAGAAGATGCTTGAATTGAGTGTTTTCTTCTTTTTGTTTTTTAGCACTGGAATTAGCACACACAAATCTATCACCACTACCTACCATAACTATAAACTGTATATTAAAAAAGCCTGTAATCAACTAAATGCTAAAGACATGATGCAAAATGAGGGAGTGAGATAACTTGTCAGTGCATCGGGTACTTAATTATGGACATAATAATATCTATGAGCGTCTTAATTAAGATACTTAAAACTGTTTTTTGGGGGGTTGAATGAGGATCTATCTGAGGTAAGCTGCCTTTAAGACCAATTAAGGATATTAGTACAGTGGACCCTCACCATGCTCAGCATCATCCCAGAGGATTTCATAAAGAATCATTTAGAGTATTAATACTTGATGTCTCCTATCAGATTTAATGTATTTTAATAAGCTCTTGTCATCCCTGCTCTCCAGTGTTCCCACTGCTGTTTTATTGTGCTGTGATATGTTTGTAAGTCCATGGTGTATGCCAGGTTTCTGGTCAGAGGAGAAAGCCTGAGCCTGAGTTTTCTTTAATTATTGAACAGCAATTTTGTGGGAATAAAATGAGAGCGAAGATATGTACAGGAATGGGCAACATATTGGCACACAAATTACCCCTCTGTGTGTATAGTCTACACGCTTCCAGGTAACCTTGACAAGATAAAATGTACATGAAAGATTAGGCCATATTAACATATTGCTGTAGTAGAAGATAATTCAGCTGTTTGTGTGCAGTGGTTTGTAGGTAGAAAGTCTGACAAAGGTACAATCTTTACATTTTCTACTAAATTTTCTTCTTTGGGAAAATAAATTGAAATCCTTCCAGATTAAAATATGATGGTGTTGCTGTAAATCATGGATTGTTTTCATTGAGTAATTGTTCGGTCAATAAAATCTCCCCAAATTCCAAATTGATTTCTTCAGTGTGCTAGTTTTATCCTACCAACAGCCTAAAATCCAAAGATATTAGGTTTTCCATCAGAAACAATAAAGAAAAGCAGCAAATTCTCAGAATTGAGCTAGGTAATTTTTATTGAATATGTGTGAAAAGTGACTTAAACAGTTGGCTGATTATCAAAATAGTACATTTTCTGTTGACTAAGTATTCAACGAATTGTTACAGATCTAGTTGAAGTTTTAAGTGAAACCAGTTCTATAGTGTGGTTTTCATGTGCTCACAGTATATGGAATATGTGTTTTATAATGTCTAAATGTTAAATTAGACTGGGCTGCCACTTTGTTGAAAAGTACTAACCTGAGACACTTTCCATTTTAAGAGGCCAATGGGTGTGAAATATAACTTCTTCATCACCCACACTATGCTCAAAATGTACAGTGAAAAAAAGAAACACTAAAAAGACACATTGTAGGAGACTTAATGCAGTTTATCCATAAATAATTTAACTTTATGTGTAAAACAGTAATTTACATGATTCATTTATGTAGAAGGAATAATTACAGTATCTACAGGCTGATGCAGTTAATATTTACAGTAATGCAAGGGGTTAATTGTTTGATTACTTGCACTTAAAACGTGCTTGGATAATTTAGAGTGCACTTATATTACGTTGGCAATATTTTGGGAATAGAGGACTGTTATCGTCTTTTCGCTTGAACTGCACGCACCTTAAATCATCTCTGACATCTGTTTTTTGTTGTGGTGATTCACCACAGTCAGTCAGTGTGGAAATCCAAAACTGAACCCAAATACACGTAGATAAGCCTGTCTCTTGTAAAATAGTTTGAAACCTCAAATGTGGGAAAAGTACTTTCACATAATACTTATATTATGTTTATTACTTGCATGCTCATAACAAAGTGTGAAGTGTTTAGCTATTGAAGGGGGGAAACAAAAATAACTTTTCAGCGTCATTACATGCCCACTTTCTTTAATGCGTGACTGCTTCTGCTTGTAAAATATTAGTAAGAAATCAATGGCTGGCTATGAAGTTTTGAGAGACGTTATAAACTGGTCTTAAACTCAGCTTCACTGCCTCCTCATCCAACGCTCACTGCTTTCACGCTTGCCTCACCAGCTCCTATCACACTCATGCCCTTCCAGTAATATGAAGCTTAAGCTAACAGAGGGTTAGCTTAGCTTAAATACTGATGACAGAGGCTAGTCTGGCTCTGTCCAAAGATAAAAGACACTAATTTACTTTGTATTATTATTGTATATCTTATTTGCTAATTAATGAGCTATATAGGTGCTTGTAGGTGGATTTTGTCCCCTTTCTCTGTTTCTAGATTTTGTGCTCAGCTAAGCTAACTGGCTACAAGCTTCAAATTAAACAGTCTTTACAATGGTAACAAAATATCCCTAGCATCTCTAAATGTCAGTAATGAACAGATTACCTTATATCACATTTATTTAATCCATAAAAGCCTCTGGACAGAACCACGCTAGCTGTTTCCCCATCTTCAGTCTTTGTGTTACATTAAGCTAACCAGCTACTGGTGGTAGCTTCCAGTTTAATAATACAGATACAAGAGTGTATCAATCTTCTCATCTTCTCATCAGACCCTCAGTAAGAAAGCAAATTAGCGTATTTTCCAAAATATCAAACTATTCCTATAAGTTTCAAAATTCAATGCTTGTTTTATTCATAAATTCAGGTCTTCTCTCTCACATTCTTAAAAAACATTAGACCACAATAAGACAATGTTTTACATATGGAAAACATACCACCTTAATGTATGTTTCTACTTATATACCTCAGGGTGTGTTGGTTAGCTGCACAGTTGTGATTGTAATTTATTGCAATAACCAGAATTAATGTTGTGGGGAAATCGTATCTGCAGAACCATAAAAGTATTGAAACTGTGTAAATGAGTGAGTGTTTGAAGGGCAGCAATGTTGTAGAAAAACATATTGCTCCCGCAGCCACTCTCAATTTTTCTAGCAGAATGGGCTTGGAACAATTATGCCTCAAGGGCATGAGTCAACTTGAATGGCTGTACCCTATATCAACCCCATGTAGATGTTGGTTTGAAGGCCAAAGGGGTAATTATAACTTACTATGTTTTCTTATGGATTTTTTTTACTGCTGAAAGAGTTGGTCATTTTAAATACATCTGATAAAGAAAGGGAACTTTAAATGGAAAAAATGTGCCTCCACACACATTAACACACATTAGTTACAAGACTCCTTTAACTGCAGGTTTTTTAAATTTGAACTCCCAAATCATATTAAACATTTTAACTTCTGCAATTTGTTTCAGTGGCATCAGGTTGCAGGATACACACAAATCCAGTCTCAGTGACAACAAAAGATATCAAAAAGCAGGTGAAAACAGATAAAGAGCCCACACAAAACAGTAATGTCAGCACGGTTGATCCGAGGCCTTTTGAATGCCAGATGTGCGGTGCACACTGCCGAGCTGCAGCCAAGCGTGCATTCAGCTCAGTTACTCTGTATAGGAGCTGGGGTTACAGCATGATACGGAGCAGAGGCTCACAATGCAATCCTGTTTGCTTTGTTTTGTTGTACAATTAACGGAATGGTTTTAGCTTGTGTGTTTTGCACTCCATTGGTGAATCTTGGACAGTCGGATCCTGGTGACAAAAAGTTGATGTTTCAACGTGCAATAACCTGAACCCATGTCTAACAGTAATTGAGGCCAAGACTGTAGTGGCTTTCTGAGGCTGTACAGCAGTGCTTTGAGCTAAATGATAATGTTTACCAGTTATACCGTTTAGCATGTTCACCATCTTAGTTCAGCATGTTAGCGTGTTTGTTAATTAGCACTGAACACAAGGCACAGCTGAGGCTGAGGGGAATGTCATTGGTTGTGCAGGTATTTGGTCATTAACCAAAGTACTGGACAAATTAAAATGGTGACCCTATGGTGTCACTGGGAGAAAAGTTAAGGCATCACCAGTTATTCATCCTGAGTCTCTTCGTAATTGTGTGTACTAAATTTAATGGAAAACAATCCAGTAGTTGTCAAGACATGAACTTTGAGCTGCTTGTAGCAAAAGCTTAAAAGTCAGGTAATCACCACGGTCATTAGGAATCCATCCCATAGTTACAAAGAAATTTCACTTAAAAAAACAAAAATGTCAACCTAATGCTGAAGCTAGTGAAAAGCCCAAAGTACCATGAAAGTCAGTGGACTTCATCTTCTGTGAATAATGTATGTCTGTACAAGATTTCATAGTAATCCATCCAGAGGTTGTTGAGATATTTAAATCTGGACAAAAGTGGTGGATAGACTGACTGGCATTGCCAACCCCCGAAAATAACATGAAGTCAGAAGATTCAAATCAGAACTAGGTGGTCTGAAAAAAAAAATACAACACTGTCAATTTGTCAGTTTATTTATAGAATAGGAAATAACCAATTTAAGCACAATTTATTGGTCACACGGTGTAGTTTCTCTTTGGAAAGACAACTCTGTATTAGAGCCTCTTCAACAGTATAACTGAGTTATGGTTGTGTGTGTAGGTCTTTATGTGAAAAGTAGGTTGCTTGTTGGATGCCGGCAGTTGTTCATTCTTAATGCTTCGGTATGGACCGGGGTATCCTGCCGTGGATGATATTTCTGTTTAAACCTTTAACTGGGGAAATTAACACAAAACAATCTGCTTGGCCATCTGGAATTTTTCAGTGTGCTTGTTTGTTTATAAAGCTGCACATCTGTGTACGTGTATGCAAACATGTACAAACAGATTGGCATTTGTTTGAAGGCACTAATTTGCCCCCAAGCTAAATTTGGCATAAGCACAGTGATCGCTCCTGTTTTTCCACAATGACACAAAGACATGTGTTTGCTTGGGATTGTTCTGTACCTCATACAAGAGCTGAAGCAACAATCCAAAACAGTGTGATGAGAGAAACTGTGCAGAACCACTGGAAAGACCCAGCTGCGGTGTTGTCATTTCTCCTCTTATAATTTAAAATGCTATGCCAATTAATTGACAGAAAACAAATGTGCAACATTTTTGATAATCAATTAATTGTGTAAGTACTTTTTAGCCTCATTAGCAGTTTTCTAGAAGGCTGGCC